TAGCAGAAAGTATGAAATGGTTCAACTAGACCTTATTGCAAGTGGTAATAAACGTTTTTAAAACCCATACATGACCAGAAGAAAAGTGCAATTGTCAGCAATACCAGCTCTCATCGGCTCAGGTAGCTTGATGACCATGCTATCCTATAATCGCATTGTTTCATAGGATAACATGATCATTAATCGCATTGTTCCATAACATGATCATCAACTAGTTTCATAGGATAACATGATCATCAACTGCATAGTTTCATAGGATAACATGATCATCAACTGCATAGTTTCATGGGATAACATGATCATTAACCGTATAGTTTCATATGATAACATGATCATTAATCGCATTGTTTCATAGGATAACATGGTCATCAACTGCTTAGGTTCACATCATAACATGATCATCAACCACATAGTTTCCTTGGATAACATGATCATCAACTACATAGTTTCCTAGGATAACATAATTATCAACCACATACTTTCATAGGATAACATGATCATCAATTGCATAGTTTCATGGGATAACAAGATCATTAACCGTATAGTTTCATAGGATAACATGATCATTCCTAGGAAACTATGCGGTTGATGACCATGTTATTCTATGCAATTATTCATCTTTTTAGAGTGCTGGGCAGCGTAACGTAGGGTTCAACGATCAAGCTTTTAGGGTGTTATAACTGTGACAGTCAATTTTGTTTTTTTTTATTTAAAGCAGACTTATAAGCAGTGAGTGTTGAGTGTGACAGTAAAAGATTCAGTCCTGCTCTTCGGTTAAAGTAGCTTATAGGTGGAAGGTGCTTTTGAATGGCTGCCCTCCCCCTGTTCAGCAGTCCTAAATTAGGTATGAGTATGCCTGAACTCTAGAGGATTTCTGATTTGGTCGTTTGGCCAATTCACACAAGTGCATTGAGAATTACTTTAGTTTTGGAATATTTTAAAACTATTTTGTAAAATGTTTCCATGTTCTCTCATTTATCTGACTACGGGGAGAGAGGTGTGTTAAACTCGAAATTACTACTTTACTTACCCTTCTCGTGTTTTCTTAGGCTAAGCATGAAATAAAAGATGGTTAATAAACAAATAACGTGTTGTAACACGAAATAAAAAGTTTTACAATTAACTTTCAATCTATTCAAATACATTGAAGCAGATTTGAGTAGGTCTAAACCAAAATTTCTAAGTGAGACCTATAAGTATTTAGTAAGATTGTACCTCAATTTTCAAATGAGACCTGGTGAATTTAATACAATTAAGCGAAAATTTCTAAGTGAGACCTGGTGTATTTAGTTCGATTAAAATTAGATTTCTATGTAAGACTTAGTGTATTTAGTTCGATTAAACCTAGATTTCTATGTCGAACTAAATACACTAGGTCTTACATAGAAATCTAGGTTTAATCGAACTAAATACACCAGGTCTTACATAGAAATCTAGGTTTAATCGAACTAAATACACCAGGTCTCACATAGAAATCTAGGTTTAATCGAACTAAATACACCAGGTCTCACATAGAAATCTAGGTTTAATCGAACTAAATACACTAGGTCTTACATAGAAATCTAGGTTTAATCGAACTAAATACACTAGGTCTCATTAAACCTAGATTTCTATGTGAGACCTAGTGTATTTAGTTCGATTAAACCTAGATTCTATGTGAGACCTGGTGTATTTAGTTCGATTAAACCTAGATTTCTATGTGAGACCTGGTGTATTTAGTTCGATTAAACCTAGATTTCTATGTAAGACCTAGTGTATTTAGTTCGATTAAACCTAGATTTCTATGTAAGACCTAGTGTATTTAGTTCGATTAAACCTAGATTT